ATTCCAACAATTTGTTGGCTTCGAGCTCAAGCAGTGGTTCCAGACCTTTAAAAAAATGAATTATAACATATAGCTTCATATGGAAGTATTTTGAGAAAATTAAAGATTCAAATGGAGATGAATTTGTAATCTGCAAATTAAAAAAAAACATTAATAATAATGAAACAGAATGAATATTCTAATTAAATAGGATGTTATTCCCGTGACTAGTGTGTGACCATTTTGCAAAGCAAATGGTTACACACTAGTATTAAAAAAATTTAGTTGACTAAATAGTCAACTAAAAATAATCGACTAAACAGTCAACTAAAAGAAATTTTGACCAACTAGTAGTTGACTAAGGATTTTTTGGACAATTCCAACCTCTATATTAAATAAGAAACTCAGATTGCATGCTTGCAATATTAATAAGTGTACCATATTTACAGAATCTATAGTTCTATTTTTCATAAAAAATGGATAAAGTTCAGGTAAATGACTGAGGATTTACTGAATAAATTTAATTAATAAAATATATATAGTTTGGACAAACAAAAGTATCTTTGTTTTTATATTGTTAAATTAACTTTCTTCTCAAATTCTGGCAAATATGTTTTTAGCAGAGATGGTATAAGCTGTGATGTTTTTTCTCAGATCCTCATCTAACATCATGAAATGTCAATAACTTGGTATAAATCAAGGATCTTCATTGCCTTAAATGATAATAGTTGGTAAAATTATTATTATTATTTATATTAAATATGAATTAAAATAAAAACCAATTTCTTATTAGATGATTTCCTCCAGGAATTCACATATCAAATTGATTTCAGGCCACATAGTAATTTCACATATCCATCCTATGGTACAAGTGGTATGAAGATGGTACTAATATCATAATTGTACCAAATTCATTACCCAAATATATCTACAACATAATAAAACATCCAAAATCATTTCAAAATCAATATCAAATTATTTGGTGCAAGTGGACAAAGGATGGTTTTCAATATTTCTATCCACAACTCCCTTAAATATATAATAATTTTCCTTTATCTCTTTGTACCAATCTACTTTTCTATCCAAAATGCATTAATTTACCTTCCAGAACCTCAAATACAATACTTTCTTGGTACAAGGACGAATTTGTACCATCTTTGACTCATTCTTTGCACCAGCTTTTACATACTAATTGAACACACCCATACTATAAATATCTGAGTAAGATACTTGACTAGAATTTGCAATTGAACTAATTTGATTAATAACAAAAAAATGAGTGTATTTGGCGCATCTAATTAAGAATACAATGATTACAGCTAAAACTCTTCAAGAATTGCAACCAGTTAAAGTATATTTATTGAGATATTTTGCTCATGCTGATGTGGGATGTATATAGATGGATGCCAAGAACTCAAACTGTTAATCATTATAATAAAGGAGATGCTTATGAATTCCTTATTCCATGTGGTACTAAAAAGTTTACTAATGAAGTGATAAATGAATTTAGTTTTCTATCATGGTTTTTAAATAAGACTCCATTCTTTGCCCTTAAAGTTAATACAACTCATCCTCATGTCCATCAAGCTCCAGATGGTGAGTATTATATTAATCAATTTCCCGGATTTCTTCATCCTAATCCACCCATTCTATCAATTTAACAAGAAATCCAGGATCAGGTAAAGTTATTTCTTAACCATATGAGAGAAGTCCTTTGTTCTTCTGATAAAAAGCAAGAACTATATGATGGGATTAATTTCATGAATAGCTACTGGCCAAAAATGCAAAAAATCAATGTTTCTTTATTCAGGTGCAGGAAAATGCTTACATGGTTTCTCCAAGAAATGGTTCTTGGCCCCAAAATTACCCATAAAACTACTAATGAAAGAATTATTACCAGACAATTTAATAAAGAATTGAAAGGTAAAGTTTTACTTGTTTTTGAAGAAATGTCTAACTCAAAGTCTGGTGACTGGATAGCATTTGCAAATCAACTTAAAGACTTTATTGATAGTGATACCTTAATGATAGAAGAAAAACACAATACTTCATATCCAGTTACTAATGTTACAAATCTAATTATTAGTAGCAATAATAGTAAACAATTTGTTTAGATAAAGATGACTGAAGATATTTCATTCCAGATGTTTCAGATAGGTATGTAGAAAATGGAAAGGGCTTTGGATCATTATTATGCTCCACTAGATAATTCCATAAAAAATCCAGGAGTTGGAAAGGCTTTTTACTCTTACATTCAATCAGCGGAATCAGTGTTGAAATTTCGTTGTGTAACCAGTACAAATTTAGAAACCATCTCCAAAAATTAAAAGGTTGATTGGTGTGTAATGTTACACCCCGCATTCCCCGCACCGAATTTTCAACACTGAGCGGAATTGGTATGTGCTAACCAAATCTGGAAATTTATTGCAGATAATTTCTAAAATTAGACTAGTTTTATGTTAAGACGCAGTCGAATTTTGAGCACTGATTGCAGGCATTGAATTTTATACACTACTCCTCAAGTCAACAACTTTCGGATTTTAATTTTGACTTCATGTATAATTATTACATTAATACAATTGCAGGACATTGTCACCTTCAGGGGTCAAATGGAACAGGATCCAGAAGTCACATAGATAGGTTACCTAAAAATTCCTAACATAAATAAACTAATTCATCAACAGCACCATGTAGATATATGGTCTTTACTCTTAATAGTAAGATCATCCAACACTTCATTATTAACTTTACCAAAATTTTCCCTGACCTTTCAAATTTTTACATATTGATTCACGCACATTTTGGGTAACCTATCTATGTAGTTTCTGGGATCCTAATTAAGCATACCGGCTGCAACTTTTGATGATGGTTGCTACCACCTTTACGACCATTTTGTTTCCTTTTTTGGGTTGCAACATGAAACACTAATCCTAATGTCACTCATAATTTTAGTGTAATTCTGTGTATATGAAAAAATGAAAAAATAACTTCAAGCCCCAAATTTATGTGGTTTTGTGCAGCTATCCCTGCCAAATTTGAAACATAGATCCTTGATGGTTGGTTATTAATAAAACCTTATCAAATTACTATTTGATCTATTTTTGGGTAATAAGATCAAGATAATTAAATTACCCTTGCATTCATGAAATAAATAGTTTATTATTTTTGAATAGCCATAGCTTTACACATAAAAACTTTAATATTGCAGTTTTACCTTTCTTTGATAATGAAATTTGATATTTTTAAAAAACGGACTGTTACACGATTCGAGTTTTTAAACTTTTATATATTAATAATATATATTAATATTTGCAATGTCCTCCGCACCCTGAATTTCCAATTCACTCACGGTGCGCGCTCTAACCAAATTTGGAAATTATAATGCAGGTTTTGCAAAAAATCAACATATTTGTGTATATTGCGCAGTCAAATTTTTCAAAAACCGTCAAATGTCTGAATACATTAAATTCCTAATCAAAATTGGCGTTGTGGTCAGCGACTAAAATGACTTGCACCATTTATATCCGTAGCATTTCTTTGTTCTTCTCAAAACAATTTTTTTTTCTTGTTTGGTTCTTGTTTTATGAAAAACTAGTTTCAAAACTTGAATGAAGTTTCTACAAACAATATAATAAATTTTTCTTTGACTAACTATATACATATATAAATATATGTTTAAATATTTTTTCACGTGTTCATACTAATTTTTTTTTTTATTGGACAATTTAATTCTCAAATTTTATGTTTGTATGAAATAAAAAAATAAAGATTTGTTATTTATTATTAATTATTATTATTATTATAATTATTATTTTTTGTTTAAAAAAAAATCCCCCACACAAAAAAATAAAATTTATGAAAAAATTTATAATATTTTAAAAAAAATATATGTATGTATTGTATGTGCTTTGTTATATTGTTTTTTTATATTTTTATTTTTTGATTATTTTTATTGATGTATTCTATAATTAAATTAAACATCGGCATCTTGTTCTAATTCTTCTTCATACTCTTCTTGTTCTTCTTCTACTGTTGCTTCTTGATATTGTTGATATCTAAAGAATTAAATTTGATTAAATAAGTTAATATAAAAATAAATAAATAAATAGACATAAAAAGTCGCAAAATATTAAATATCACTACTACTATGATACATACTCTGATACTAAATCGTTCATATTAGATTCAGCTTCAGTGAATTCCATTTCATCCATACCCTCACCAGTATACCAATGTAAGAAAGCCTTACGTCTAAACATAGCAGTGAATTGATCGCTGATACGTTTGAATAATTCTTGAATGGATGTGGAGTTACCGATAAAGGTGACTGACATTTTAAGACCTTTTGGTGGAATATCACATACAGCGGCTAAAAAAAATTGTTTTTATAATCAATTAATTAGTATAAATTTACAAAAATGTCAAAATAATGATATATCCCTCTCTTCATAAAAATTTTTTTTTTCAACTTACTTTTGACGTTGTTTGGAATCCATTCGACAAAGTATGAACTGTTCTTTGTTTGAACAAGTAACATTTGATCGTCTACTTCTTTCATTGAGCAACGTCCTCTGAACATAGCAGCTACAGTCAAATAACGACCATGTCTTGGATCTGAGGCTGCCATCATGTTTTTGGCATCGAACATTTGTTGAGTCAATTCTGGAACGGTCAATGCACGGTATCCTTGTGATCCTCTAGAGGTCAATGGTGCAAAACCAACCATAAAGAAATGAAGACGTGGGAATGGTACTATGTGGTTATTAATGAGAATGTAATGTGAAAGAAATAAGAGTGTGAGTGAATTGAGCGAATATGAAGAATGATGCATATGTATATATATTTAGAAAGAATAATAATTACCCATGTTTACAGCTAATTTTCTTAAATCTGCATTTAATTGACCGGGGAATCTTAAACATGTAGTAATACCGCTCATTACAGCAGATACCAAATGATTGAGATCACCATAAGTTGGAGTACTTAATTTCAATGTACGGAAGCAAATATCATATAAAGCTTCATTATCGATACAGAAAGTTTCATCGGAATTTTCTACCAATTGATGTACTGAAAGAGTAGCATTATATGGTTCTACGACTGTATCTGATACCTATCAAAATGATGACGATGATGATGATGATTAATTAACAATATTTTTCACATTTATCAAGAAGAAGAAAAAATAGAAACGCGTAAATTAATTAATCATGTATATAATACTATATTATATTTACCTTTGGTGAGGGAACAACAGAGAAAGTACACATCATACCCGTCTATATAATTATTTAAATAATTGATAAACATTCGTTTTGCAAACTTCATAGATCTTGACTTTGACACTTGCTTCGATCAAACCCGCCTATATAATTATTTGAATAATTGATAATAATAAAACGTTGATAAATATATTTTACAAACAGCTTCATAGATCTCGACTACTTTAATACTTACTTCGATCAAACCCGCCTATATAATTATTGAATAATTGATAATAATAAAACGTTAATTAAATACATTTTACAAACAGCTTCATAGATCTCGACTTTAAGACTTACTTTGATCAAACCTGCCTATAATAATAAGCGTTCGTTTTGGAAACTTGATTTGCAAATAGATCTTGACTTTAATAGATCTTGACTTTTAACACTTATTTTGATACAAGCTGTTCAATAATTGATAAGTGTTCATCAGTATATTTTACAAACTTGCTTTGGAAGCTTAGTATATCGTCATACATCTTGTATTTAACAGTCTACTTTTTCTGTTGATTTTTATTTTTTTTAGATTACACAATAAAAATTATGGAATAAATTTAATCCAATGAAATGGTTGGTATCCCATATTTTGCACAACTTGAAAAAAAGTTAGTATATAAGTCATAGAATTGGTATAATAGTATTGACCAGGGAAAAGTCTTGCAATGATGAAGTACCGGATATGGTCCCCTGTGTCCGGGTGCAATGCCTCACTTTGGACCGGCTGTAAAGTCCCGCGTGCTAGGAAGGTGGAACTGATGCGGGTGGCTCATGTTGGGTGTATTGACCCCTCGTGACATGACCCTTCCTTTTGTTAATTTTTATTATTTATATTTATTTTTATTTAGTTAAAAGGAAACATTTAAAAAATTAAAAAAATATAAAAATTCGCTAATTGATTTGATTTGGTTACATTTGTGATATACGAAGATCCATCAATCAATAATATTAATAATATAATTAGTAGCAACGACGACAACGAATCATCGTTTGTTGATGATGATAAGATCCAGTTTGTATACAAGTGATCGAAGTAAGCGCTAAGACAAGATTTATAAGCTTTCAAAATATTCTAACGAACGTTTTATCAATATTCAATAGTTTGTACAAGCATTAAGGACAAGATCTATGAACAAAATATTCTAATGAATGTTTTATCAAATATTCAATAGTTTGTATAAGTAAGTTTTAAGGACAAGATCTATGAAGCTTACAAAATATTCTAACGAACGTTTTATCAATTGTTCAATAGTTTGTACAAGTGTTAAGGACAAGATCTATGAATATTGCAAAGTATTCTAACGAACGTTTTATTAATTATTCAATAGTTTATGTGGGAGTAATCGAAGTAAGTTTTAAGGACAAGATCTATGAACAAAATATTCTAACGAATGTTTTATTAATTATTCAATAGTTTTATGTAGGAATAATCAAAGTTTTAAGGACAAGATCTATGAACAAAATATTCTAATGAACATTTTATTAATTATTCAATAGTTTTATGTAGGAATAATCAAAGTAAGTTTTAAGGACAAGTTTGCAAAATATTCTAACGAACGTTTTATTAATTATTCAATAGTTTATGTAAGAGTAATCGAAGTAAATTTTAAGGACAAGATCTATGAACAAAATATTCTAACGATTGTTTTATTAACTATTCAATAGTTTGTGTAGGAGTAATCGAAGTAAATTTTAAGGACAAGATCTATGAACAAAATATTCTAACAAACGTTTTATTAATTATTCAATAGTTTATGTAGGAGTAATCGAAGTAAGTTTTAAGGGCAAGTTTGCAAAATATTCTAACGAACGTTTTATCAATCATTCAATAGTTTATGTAGGAGTAATCGAAGTTTTAAGAACAAGTTTGCAAAATATTCTAACGAACGTTTTATCAATCATTCAATAGTTTATGTAGGAGTAGTCGAAGTAAGCTTTAAGGACAAGATCTATGAAGTTTGCAAAATATTCTAACGAACGTTTTATCAATCATTCAATAGTTTTATGTAGGAGTAATCGAAGTAAGTTTTAAGGAGAAGATCTACGAACAAAATATTCTAACAAACGTTTTATTAATTATTCAATAGTTTTATGTAGGAGTAATCGAAGTAAATTTTAAGGACAAGATCTATGAACAAAATATTCTAACAAACGTTTTATCAATCATTTCAATAGTTTATGTAGGAGCAATCGAAATAAGTTTTAAGGACAAGATCTATGAAGTTTGCAAAATATTCTAACAAACGTTTTATTAATTATTCAATAGTTTATGTAGGAGTAATCGAAGTAAGTTTTAAGGACAAGTTTGCAAAATATTCTAACGAACGTTTTATCAATTAATTAATAGTTTGTGTAGAAGTAATCGAAGTAAGCTTTAAGGACAAGATCTATGAATAAAATATACTAACGAAGGTTTTATCAATCATTCAATAGTTTATATAAATTTCTCTTTTATTTTAACTTATATTTAAT